GTTTGGCATACGGTTCCCGCGGCTCAAGCGCCGGTGCGGAGAAAGATCCACGCAACCAACCGGGCACACCACGTGGCAGCACAGGGAAACAGCATGCCATGAAACAAGCAAGAAGCACGTCTATATCTGTCCCAAACTTATTCTGCCCGTAAGCAAACTGATCGATCAGCTACGCTGTAGTGAAGCCCCCTTTCTGCCGAAAACGCCATCCTCCCTTCCTCCATTACCGCCACTAGACCAGTCTCCCCCCTCCATTTTCCTTGCATCTCTCAATCATCATCGGCGTAGCGGATCTCTCCTGATGCAGCGGGTGTTTCCGGCGCGCCGCCGTACGCAGCCGGCGTCGGCGCACTGTAGTAGCCACCACTGGCAGCCGGCGTCGGGGCTCCGGCCGCCGGGGTAGGGGCGGTATCGGCCCCCCAGCCACCTTGCCAGGCGCCAGGGGTAGGAGCGCCAACCGCGGCCGGAGTAGGCGCCGAGTACGCACCAGGCGTCGGGGCGTTAAGGGCCGCAGGTGTGGGCGCGCCCAAACCGGCACCGGGCGTGGGCGCATCGTACGCTCCGCCGCTTGCGCCGGGCGTGTAGCCCCAGCTGTCAGCCCCGCTGGCGCCTGGGGTAGGGGCTGAAACGCCATAGGCGGGAGTCTTGGAACCCCAAGGGTCATTGTTGCCAGCGCCGTAGGCCGGGGTCTTGGAGCCGTGGCCGAAGCCATCGTGTGCGGGTGTCTTGGCGCCTGAGGACCAGGCTGGGGTGCGAGAGCCGCCGCCATACGAGGTGGCGCCGCCGTACGCGGTGCGGTTACCGTCTCCCATAAGCCGTCCGGTTGCCGTCGTACGGGTTGACGGTGCGAGAGCCATCGCCCCAGGCGGGAGTCCGTGAGCCAGACGCCTCGCCACGACCCCAGGCTGGTGTGCGGGCGACCGCTAGGACATAGTTAGCATTGAGACCTTGCACACATGGAAGAAGATAGAACTCACCCTTCGGAGCCCCCCATGCTGGGGTTCGCTCTCCGCCTCCCGCGCCCATGGGCGTCCTGCTGCCACCGGGCCGATCCCCGGCCCCAAATCCACCACGGCCAGCACCACCCCCGAAGCCGCCGCGACCAGAGCGGCTGTAAATATCAATCGTCTTCCCGGTAACCCTGTCCTTGAAGATGAGGTCGGCCTTGGCAATACTGACAATCTTATTCTTGCCGTGAAGCTCAACGCGCGCATGGGTTTCGGAAGTATCCTTGACGATGCCCATCAGGGCCTTGTAGCCGCCTCTCCGGATGCTTACCGTCTGGCCGAGGGCACGATCACGGCCGAACGTCTTGGGGGGCTGCATGGCTTGGTTTTGCGCCGGGTTCCGCTTGAGAGCTGGGTTCATGGCGCTCAGGTCAGGCCCTGAATTCGGGTTGGTGGCGCGCCCACCCTTTGCCGCGATTGTGCTGACATTGCCAGCCCTGGTGACGAATACGCCGGCGTTTTCGGTGGTAGCGTTGCTGTGGAGGAAGATGAAGGACCGATGGATGTGGATGATTTTACCTTGACGCTGCTGCCCGCCATACTCACGGACCACGTCATCGAGCCGAATCTCGGAGCCGTTTCGGAA